TCTTCCATCTTCTCTTTCAGGTGATCTCCCCGGACCCCTGTTTAATGTCCTGCTGGACAGGACATCTATCTATCTATCTATCTATCTATCTATCTATCTATCTATCTATCTATCCATCACCTATCATCTTAAAGGAAGTTATGATACCAGTGCTGAAGAAGCTCACTACAACCATAGACTAAGAAAAATTTCAGTACTGGGCATGAGCCCTCTCCTTTAGAATGGTTGGTCAGAGAAATCCAGGTGACTCCTCAAACAATACAGACTATAGCTGTTGCTGCCCTTGGTTGCTTCTCACAGGTTAAAGGTCTTTTTGCTGAACACAACACACACTTAGGACACAAGTCTAGCCTGAAAGCCTTTTCCTGTGATCTAGCAGGAAATACTGTGCAAGCTGCCAAAGAAGGGAAGCAATCAATAGCCATACTCAATTGCTTCACCTATGACCCACAACAATGACCATCATTGCAAGATATCCTTAAAGATACATTAGTGATACTCATACCTTGTCTGCAACCAAGAACCAGCTAATTGGACTTGAGGCCTACTCAATAGGAAAGAAACCATTCCTGGTTCCAGAAACTTAGCCAACTACCCAGACCTAGTGAGGTCAGGATCTTAGAATAAAACTACTATCCTCACTTTGCTAGAACAGCAAAATTACTAACTACATTCTAAATCTTACCTACAGATAAGTGTAGCTATCACCTTTCATCAAAAAGCTTCTCTTTACACCAAGTAGAGACCATCACTGAAAACCACAACTGGACACAATACAGAGATTAATAGATCATGAGAATCCCAGATCCAGTGGATATATCTGTATCACAGCCCTTGCTCCTGCTCAGGGATCATCTCAGAAGAGGGAGCAGAAAGATTCTACAAGCCACAATACCAGGATGTCTGCTTCAAACAGTCTTTCATAGAAACGGCTGCATAAAGAAGATCTGGAGAATGGTAGTATCAGTAAACATGTTAAAGGGGGAAAAATCTCATGGGAGCCTACCTCTAGACAAAGAAAGACTGATAACTAGTGACTGCTGAGATAGGAAGAGTTAGTCTCTCCCAGGGATGAGTCCCCTAATTGGTTGTCCAGTAAAAAGGATTCAGCCCTGAAACTATACGCATAGTAGGCTATGTTAATATATTTGTTATAGTCGTGAATATATATGTAGCATAAGTATACACATATATATGTAACAGTAGTAATCAGGAAGGAAGAGGTTATCAATTTGGGAGGAGGAAACATGGAAGGAGTTCAATGGAGAGGACTTGGGAGGAGGGGTTGCAGAGAGAAAAGGTAGGAGACAAGTAATGTCATCATATTTTAATTAAAATGTATAAAGTAGTAACTATGATGATGATGATGATATCATCAAAGGGCTGGAGTTCCCAGCACTGATATCTAGTGGCTCATAACTTCCTATAAGGGGCACCTGTCACCTCTGGCCTCTGAAGACACATGCATTTACAGACTTGTGTACACACGTGTATGTGCATGCACATACTTGCATGCATGCATGTGTACATGAGTGTAGGGAACTAGGTCATGTACCACTGCATTTCCATAGCATGTTAGTATGTTTGGGAAACTTATATATATATTTTAGTTACACATTTCCCTCTGGGGAGCAACATTAGAAGCTCTCTTTCTTGAGTAATGTTTTTTTTTTTTTCAAACCAGCAACTAAGTTGCCATTGCTTTTATACGTTCAATATCTTACTCAGTCTACTACTTAGATGAGAGAGTATACCATGATTAATTATAGTCTTTGAGTCTAAAGAAAAAGCCACTGTGCTACGGATATAACTTGGTGGTAGAGCACATTCTTAGTTTGTGCAAAGTCCTAAATTTGATCCCCGTGTGTGTGTGTGTGTGTGTGTGTGTGTGTGTGTGTGTGTGTGTGTAATTTCAATATATATTGAAATAATTAAGTGGGCCAGAAATAAGTCATTTTTTTCAACCTAGTCTCACTCTGTATCCAGGATGACTTTGAACTCATGCCAATCTTTTCTCCTTCAGCCTCTCAAATGCTGGGATTACATCCATGAACCATAATGATTTATTATTTCTTTTTATTGCTGGAGTATCAAACCCAGGAGCTTGTACAGGCTGTCATATTTTCAAAGGATCTCAAGTGCTCTTGGAATGCATAATGTCTAATAATTAAGCAAAGGAATGTGCAAGTAATGCAGAGAAGGACCTTACCTAGCCACATGACCCTGTCAGCTTCCACCCCTGAAGGAGTACATGCTTTCTCATCTAACAGCATTGTCTGTTCACTCTGTTTGGAGAAGTTGATAAAGTTTGTGGTCATTGCAGAATGTGGAATCAGCGAATTTTGCTGACTTGGACTTTAGGAAATGATTTTCAATGGAGATGAAGTGACTCATATTGAAAGTACGACAGAAAAGCTTTTCTTTAGATGTTTATTAGGATCTACCAAGGCTGAGGTCTCAGGAAAGTCTAGCTGTGCTCTGCCATGAGCACTAGGTTTCTTCTTTCTTCTTCTGTATTTCGAATCCATTATTGCAACAAATTGTTTTTGGCAAGTTGGGTATGATCTTGTGATTGAGGCAAGAAAAATGTACCCTAAAGAATAAAATTTATTAATAGAGTTTAACACTTTGATTTTGGGTGTAGGGTTTAAAATATTTTTATATATTTCCCTCAATCTATAGCAATGTACTATAGTAACATTTTATAATGCTACTTATGCAGCTTTATCATGATATATGGTTGCAGCGATATTAGTTCCAGCAAATGCCATGCCGTCTCTTCATTTGTTGCTTTCTAGTGTCTCATAGTTGAATCATAATTCGTTCAAATTATAACATTTTTCTCTTTCGCTGTAGCATTTAGGAGAAACGAATACAGTTTGAAATTATAACACAAGGGACTAAGAGAAAGCAAGGGAAAGAGCAGAAAGACAGCAACAAAACAGTAAAGTCTTGGTAAAATCACACTAGCAAGGGCTTGGCCATGGAGACTAAAAAGCCAGATGTCAGTATGTATTTCAAGAACAAGGCTGTATAAACTCCCTTTCTATCCTGTATACTTTTAATCTAAGTCTTAGTTCATTTATGAAATTTCATGAGCCAACTCGTAGAGCCAGCTAGTCTCTTGGGGAAGGATTCTCTGTCTGCTCTGCTGTCCTGTAGGCACTAGCTGATCCCAGGTAACTGCTCTATGAACCCTTACTTTCATTATTAGAGCCACTTTCCGTCTGATCTTTTGGGCCTGTGTCATTGTAGCTTAGAGCAGGGGACGCAGCGGTATCAGAGATATCGGGTACTTACCCCAGGCTTGTTGGAGTAGACTTGCATCCACCAAAAGATAGAACTATATACAGCTAGCAAAGCCTCCAGCACAGTGAAGAGGAGCATCATCCCCAGAGCACTCTGCAAAGCAGCACAGGCCAGGGTGGGACCCCACACAAAGCCTTTGGGCCCCTGCTGAGAGGAGGTGGGGGCGGGGTGGGGCAGGGTAGTGGTGGGCAATGGAGAACAGAACGAGCAGAGGCAAAGGCTCAATCCTTTCCTCTGCTTTCTCTTTTAGTGATCACAGAGATGAGAAGTAGGAGTGATTGGGCATCTATCTTTGCTTGTTTTCACGATTTCTTGTTTGTCCTTGCTTCATTCTGTCTTTAGGTGTGGATTTGAATTCACTTACCCTATAGAGTCTTCTGTGGGTTCCTTCAGCATGCAATTTTATGTCTTCCATTTTGAAAAATTCTCAGGTAATTATTTCTTCATAGTCTCTCTCCTACTCATTTCTATTAGAACTCATGTTCAACCTTTCTGTGTAACCTTCAGCCTCTGTGCCATTCACAGTTTTCAAATTTGATATGATTTGATGATGTGTTTCTTTAGATCCATTAAATCTGCTTTTCGATGATCTCAGTTTTTAATTTCAAAGATTTTTTTCCTATTTATAGTTCCTGTTTATCAAGTCCCCCTGTCCTTTTGACCTTACTGCCCTGTTGTTGAGTTTTGGTTTTGTCTTAGTCAGTGTTTCTATTACTGTTATTAAACACCATGACCAAAAGCAACTTGAAAAGGAAAGGGTTTCTTTTAGCTTACACTTCTAGGTAACAGACCATCACTGAGGGAAATCAAGGCAGGAACTCAAGGACAGAGCCTAGAGTAAGGAACTGAAGTATAGGCCATGGAGGAATATTGAAGAATATTGCTCAGCCTGGCCTGCTTCCATATAAGCACCCAAGACTGCCAGCCACAGTGAGCTGGACCCTCTCACATTAATCATCAGTCAAGCAAATGAACCACAAGCTGTCCAACAGGGCAGTTCCATGGCTCCATTTTCTCAATTGAGGTTTCCTTCCCTCCCCACTCCTCCCCCCATGACTAGCTTGTGTCAAGTTGATATAAAACTAGTCAGAACAGATTTCAATTGTGTTAATTAATTAATTAACATTTCTAAGAATAAACTTTCATTACGCCCTTGTTCAAAAGACTACATGATTTCCAGTTCTTAGGCTACTAGCTTGCATCTTTGCTCTACCTCTTGTTACTGTTTTCAAGATCGAGTTCACGGGTGATAGTGTATTTCTTTAATATGTGAGAATCTCATGAGTGGAACTGATTGGTATGTCCCTAGACAGTTGTTTTAAGTTTGATTTGTAAGGACCTTAGAAATTTCAGATACAGAGATTCAGAAGCAGTTTTAAAATCCCTTTTTTAGAGCACTCCTAGTGTCTATGGAACTGTGAGTTTAGTTGTGCTATCTGTATGGGGCTGAGTGAGCTGATTTCATGGATTTGTGAAACTTCCTTGAATATTGAATATCATTTCTTTGTCCGATTGTCACAAGTGGAATGAATTTCTAATGTTTGTTACTAATATATTGGCAGGGCTCTTCCTGTGTTCCTATTATACCGACAACCCTAAACTCTTATCCTAGTCTCTAATATCTATTTCTGTGCAGACTCCTAATTTTCTGGTTTGATGATTTGTCTTTAGAATCCTTGTTAGGTTCTGCAGTCTGCACCATCCTTATGTCTTCCTACCTCCACCTCCTTTTTTATTTCTTTCACCCTCACACACACACACACACACACACACACACACACACACAGAGTTTCATTTGTTCAGGTTAATGCTGTATTTATTAAAAATTAGCATTCCTTTGAGGTTGGCTTACTCTGCCATGCTGAAACTTTCCTGATGCTAAGGAAATTCTTTCTGGCTCTACTTACATGAGAGTAGGAGACTGATGTACTGAAGTTAATCTTAATTGAAACAGTCCCTCAGTAGTCTAGTGGGAGGGTGCTTCTCATATATTGATCTACCTTGTGTATCTTGCATTGTGATCTCCTGGGCTTTGTCATGCTTACTTCTAACCAGATGAGTCTCTGTTCTCTTTCACTTCCTCAAGCTCCCAGATCAGTGTGTCTGATCTACTCAATGTGGCCTGACTCACAATAGGATGTGAGTCCAAAAACTTTCACACATTCTCTAAGACTCCCAAGTCAGATGGACATGAGGGAATGGAAAATACCACCAGCTTGATCACTCACTGCTTCAGTAGAAGTCATGAAGGAACGATCTTCCTCCTTAAATGACTTATTGTTATTATTTAAACATGATAATCCTACATTTAGAAAATGCACTAAGCCAGACTTGTCACTATCACTATGTGGGGGCTGTCAGATTTGTGAAAGGTGCTAAGAAACTTCTTACCCCCCCAAACACTGATGTTTCACTGGAGTCATACCTACTGGGTAGCTGCCTCCAACCCCCCTTCCCTCTTTGCCAGCCCCAGGCGATGTGCATTTAGGGAAATTAAGCACTTTGTGTCTGCTTCAACTCTTTTCAGCTCCAGGCAAGGATTCAAAAGAGCCTCCCATTTCCCAACACTAATAAGAAGGAACAGAAGCGCTTGCTGTGATTTAAGACTTTCTAATGTATGTTCTTTACCTCTTCACTGGTTCCCCTTTCTGCTGTGCTTCATGCACCTCCCCCCACACTGAAACTGCTAACTTTCTGTCATATTTGTTTATTGTTTTTCTTCTTGTCTGCCCTAGACAGTCAGACCAACATGACCAGAGACTGCTGAAAAAGCAGAAACAATCCAAGGGGGTGGAGACAGTGGGGTTTTACCCAATAAGATGTTCAGTCTGGAACTACTTACTATAGCACTGATATAAGCCAGGTGACAGTTCTTGTCTTCTTTCTTCCAATGATGGGATTCCAAATAAGACAATAAGGACAGGAATTTCTTTTCTGAGTTACAGTGTGGAAAGGCAGTCCCCAGGGCTACCAGGCAATAGGTGAAGAGGAAGAGTCCAATGATAGCAACAACAGAGCTTGCTACATTGGAGGCCAAGCTGCTCAATGCCTGGAAGAGAGATTCTGTGTTGGGTTCTCATCATAGGTTTGGTACTGTTCCCTCTGGCCATTATACTGCAATGGTGCTCCTTGGAGTTGTTTCTTATAGAACCTGTGACTTTCTTTCAGGCAGACTATGACTAATTTGTCTTTGTATCACAGTTTGTCACATGAGATAGTTAGGAAATGTGGCAAATGGGACAATGTGAACAGCTCCCCACAGTCAGCTTCCTAACTCTTTATGACACTGATCACTGATCTAGGATCCTCAGCCTCTTGCCAGTATTTCCACGGACTCTTGGTGTTCTTAAAACTGTTTTTTCTTTTGAAGACCTCTTAGAATATAGCCTTTGCCATTCTCTGGAGAACGTAGACTAAAGTTTTATCTCACATAAAGAAGTAGCTTTAGAAACTAGTGGAAGCAAATTGTAGAGGATGAATACCTTAGAGGGTGATCAGGCCTAAGGGAAGACAACGTGTACTTTCATTTGACAAGCAATTGACAAAGATGAACTTTCTGTTTCTCTGGGAAAGGGCAAGAAATACTGGCATGTGGTCTTAGTCTCTGTAGTTCTTGCCATGCCCAGTCCCAGGTAATATAATGAATGGACCATGGTCTTGAAAATACAAGAAGAAGCAGCTAAAACTCATGCTCCTGTGGATAGCAGCCTTTCTTACTTTCTGCCACATACCAACCAAGATGGAAAAGCCACATTCTTTTTTCAGAAGACACAGGGTCAAGCTAGCTATGACTGAGAGCACACAGGTGGTTTAGGAATTGACACTTGCTCATGATAACTGAAGCTGCAGTATAAACCCAGGAGTTATGAGGTGGTTGAAGAATTCTCTGCATTTTGATGGGGTCATAATTCTGAGCGTGGCATCCGGAAATGTAGACTCCTATCTCAGCTGATGCTAATCTCCACGTTCATGACTTGGCAAGCTCTTTGCTCCTCTGTGTTTCTGTTTTTCTCCTATCACATGTGGAAAATGAACACAGTCACTTCATACGTTACTTCCCAAGAATGTCAGTGGTCCAGCTGAAGATCAATATACTGCCTAACCTGTTCTGTGCTTCATTTCCCTAAACAGTACAATGGAAGATTGAAACCAGAAGAATTAACTATGAGGTTCTAACTATTCCAACCAACTGGAGTTTGATGGTCTTCATACTTACAAAGGGTTTGGTTGAGATTTTCTCAGAGGTAATGGAGAGAATTCCAGCACTGGCAAACTGTTCAGGAGAGAGAAAAAAGAAAGAGCTATCCTAAGCTGCTTTCAGATCACTCCCAAAAAGTGACAGGAAACTTTCAGAGAAGACAACCCCGCAGGAATGACATGCCTGTATTGCTAGGGATGCTTCATATCTGCTTGGGATATTTATACAGGCTTTGAAGAATAGTCACCTGCTCAGGGAGGTTTATGCTATTGGAAAGCAGCAGTTACTGCAGACCAAATGCAACAAATGCCTGACAAATGCTACTGAATTGTGAAATTGGAAGAGGAGTTTGAGGCATATCCAGGACTTGAGACTTGAGACAAGAAAGCCAACAGAAGCACTTAGGAAGGAGCCTCTCATGTGGCAAGAGAAAGAAAAATGCATCACTGAAGCTGTGGGTGTAGGCTACTTTAGTATTATCTAGAGTTGAGGAAATCAGGATGAAAAAAATCCAATAAGGGATCTTTATTATAAGCACTGGGAAGCCAGCATTTGATTCCAGTGGAACTAGGGGCCAACAAGCAGAGGGATGGCAGTGTGGGAAAGTTAAACCATTGACTACACCTGTGGTTTGAGTATTGACTAGTGGCAATTAGAGCCAAGAAAGAACTAGTAGAAGCTTCACTAAGAAATATGGAGGCTGCCACCACTCACCGATGGAGACAGTAAAGTCAAGAACAAACTGTACTTTGGAGACAGGAGCAGAGCTTTGTGCACATTGTACAGTTGTGCCCATGCAGGGACTATGGTCACTAAAAACACTTTCATCTTTTCAGAATGTGCCTCTTTTCTTCAGTTTTTCAAGATTCTCTATTTCAGAGAATTGCTCGTTGGTAGGATGTGTACATTGGGCCTAGCAGCTCTGAAAATATGATCCATTAGGGTCTTTGTCCATGATCCATTATATGACAAGAAGCCCAAGAGCTCATAGATGTTCAGGGTTATCCATAAGCAGAAGAGTGCTTTTGTTTCCCATGAGTCTTGTCATTACTGAGATAAATGTCTGCAGAGCTGTGGCATCTGCAGAATACTGTATAATCAACCCTCTCACTCTGGACCTAACAATTGATTGTTCTAGAATGGCCAGAATCCAATGGCCTTTTCAAAGCCTCAACAAGGGCTATGAAAAATCATCCTCTAGTCTAAGAGGATGTGGTATCAGACAAGAAAAGTGCTGATGTGCTCAGTGTGTTGTCTTCTCCTTCTGCCTTCTGTCCTAATTAGATTCCTCCTGAAGTGCTGACTTTTTTGGGGGATACAGGACATAGGCAAAGACAGGAATGTTGAATTGGCTTCCTCCTGCCTCCTTTCCTCTTGAAGATAAAGTCATTCTGTTGTGACTGAGTGCCTGGAAGGTGGGGGGTTACTTAGAAAACATACATTTTTTTTGAGACCACATTTTACTTACACAGAGGGATCCAATAAACAGATACCCAGTTATCAAAGTGGTGGAGGCTTCTGGGTTGAAGTTGGAAGAGTAGGAAGCTGACACCAAAATGCCCCCAAAGCTTGCAATCATCAAGGCACATAGTAGCTGGATGGTCTGTAATACACAAGGCAAGGACTTCTAGACCATGATTTAAGTAGATGCAAAGGATTATTTGAAAACACACTGGCTTATAAAGGAGTTTAAAATACGTTATTATTTCCTATATTAAAGGATGAAAACCCCACAAGGAACAAATAAGCCTATTCTAAGAGAAAAATTCAAAATTTACCTCCTTTATTTTGTGGAAGGCTCATAAAACTCAGGAAGTGACAATATGAATGTTTAATTCTGAAAAGTCTACTTCACAAAACATTTCTTTTTGGAAAAGTCATTGGGAAAAGTTGTCTGGACCAGAGCCCAGTTAGGTGAGTATAGAGAAGGAACTTCCCATGGAAGTCTCAGTGCAGGCCACCAAGAGTTGAGCATCACATTTCTGGTGCTGTCACTCATTTTTTTGTCTTTGATTTTAAGAATCATTGTGATTTTTATGGTGGCAGTTTTGAGAAGTTTACATTTGTTTAAGGGTGTCTGCATTCTAAGCGGTACTCATCACATCTTTGTAACAGAGGACGAACATGAGGGAGTGGAGCTGTACAAACTTGCACAAATGTCAAATCCGGCATGTGGTTTGACCTCTCCTGTTTGAACAAGAATTCAATGTTTATTTACCACTGAATATATATTATAATTAACACACAGGCAAATTAATCCAAAATTAAGATAAGTTATGTATTATCACAATTCCTCATTGAGGACCCATGTACCAAGAGGCAGACATGAAGCAAAGGAAAGTCACTCTGGTAGATTCTTATGTCTTACACATACCATGTAAAGTCAAGTTCGGTGGCAACTGGGATAAAGTATTATTAGAACATGTAATCAAGGGTGGGACCCATCAAGGATAGAGATTTGTGATTAAATTGATGGGAGATGCTGGAATAGACTAGAAGATCCAGAAGAGAACTCATACATATATAGCCATCTAATATTTAACAAAATATTCTCAATAAATGGTACTGGAGAAACCAGAAACCACACGTCAAAGAATGAAGCTAGATTTCCATCTCTCACTTGAACAAATGTAATTCAGAATAGATCAAATTTGTTAAGGAGACCTTACAAAGAGACCCCTCTGAAGCTTGAGAACGTGTAGAGCCAAACACCAGGAAAATACTTTAAGACGCAGGAATTCATGAAAAGAAGCCCAATAATTCAGATGACAACGGGAAGAATTGATAACATTGTATGGGATTAAAAATCTCTAGCAGTGGAAACAAACACGAGAGTGAATTGACAGTCTGAGAAATGGAAGAAAGCCATTGGTGCCTAAATATCCTGTGAGAAACCCCAAAGCTTAAAAAAAAAAACTGAGAAAACCAAATCAACCAGTAAGTAGGCTAGTGAATAGAATAAACAGTTTTCAAAAGAAGAAATACATATTATCAACAAACATTAAAAAAAATTCCACGTCTTAATGTCTAATTAGGGGAATGTAGATAAAAACTGATTTCAGATTCCTTTTCATCCCAGTCAGACTGGTTATTATCCAGAAAACAAATGACAACAGATCTGATGAAGATGTGAGAAAAGAGGAATTAACAAACAGGAATGTAAACCAGTGTGGCCACTGTGGAAATCAACACTGTGGTTCCTCACAAAATCAAAACTAAATTAGAACCAGCATATGTCCCACATGATGATTCTTGGGTATTTCCCCAAGGAAATCAAAGTCAGCATACCACAGAGAGGTCTGCACATCTAAGCTCATCGCTACGCAATAGCCAAGGCATGAAACCATTTAGATGTCTATCAGCTGATAGGTAGAAAAAGAAAATGTGGTTTTTATACACAGTGAAATTTTATTAAACAATGACGAAGAAGAAAATAATGTCATTTATAGTGAAATGGGTGGAACTGAGGAACATCATACTAAGAAAACTAAGACAGGCTCAGAAAGATAAATACTTTGTTTTCTCTAATATGTAAAATATATATTTAAATATATATGTGCATATATGTGTAGAACATAAGACTAGAAGAAGAAATGGGGGTTGGAGGGCAAGTGGTCCAAGAGGTAGGAGGTAAGAGAAAATAATGGAAGAAAAAGACAAATGCCATGCTTTCTTTCATAAACATAATCTATAGCTGTATACTATATGTAAACACATACACACACGCGCGCGCGCGCACACACACACACACACACACTAAAAAAGCAGAAGGAGAATATTTGGAAGGGAAAGAAAACCAAAAAGAAGGTGGGAAGGAGTAAGGACTATATTAGTAGGCAAACATGATTATATATATATATATATAATTTTATCATCTGTCTGTCTGTCTGTCTGTCTGTCTATCATCTATCCATCTCTATCTAGCTATCTATTAGAAATGGTGGTAGTGATATAAGGGCCAAGATCTTGGTATAAAGATAGTGAAATAGTCACCTGGTTTCTGAAGTGGGAGATTCCAGGGGTGAGAAGAAAGCTAAAAGATTGATTGATCTCAGAGTCCCAAGAAACAAAGACAATGCTAATGCCATTTCAGTGACCTGCTGAAGGAGTGTTTTTAGGAAACAATGTGCTTCTGGCTAAACAAAGAAAGAGACATCTGAGAAAAGAAAAAGGATAAAGAGTCCAATAGTTAAGATTTAAGATGTAGTAATGAATTATGCTTGTTTAGCAAAGTGGCTGTAGTAAATTTTTTTAAGTTTCTTGACTTCTCTAGCTTCAGGAGGCTGGCTAGGTTTCTAGTACCAAGCATGATTGCTCTCCTGCTGAGTAGGCTTTAAGTGGGAATAGACAGCTGTTGGTTGCCATTGACACATGAGTGCCACTTTTTTCACCTCTATGCATGGCTTACTATGCTGGTAAGTGTTATGGTCTATAGGTGGTGTAGTTGTGTAGAACTATTTAATCATTTCCTTAGCACAGAATTTTCTGGAACCATGGAAGCTACACTAAAAGAAAGATGTTTTCATATCCAGCTTGAATCATCTGAGTGTGCAGTGTCTTCAACCATAAGAACATTCTCCCAAACCCCAAGAAGCAACCAGAAGGCTACATTAATTATTTATATTGGAGATACTTAGGCTACCCTGTCCAACTATTTGAATAGAAGTTTTACTTCTATTTCAATTAAACATATTTTAAGAGGGTAGAATGGTGTCAATGGACCCTGAATTTCAGAAGAAACATTTAGGAAGGTGTCAGGAGCCATCTAGGAAAGACTATGTCATGCAAGTGAGTTTTCTGGAGATGGCCCACCATTTTGCATGGCCTGGGATGGGTGAGCTCTGAGATGCAATATCCTTAGAAACTTCAACCCAGGATTGCTTCTTGCTGCTGATTTGCCTTCCCTGTTAAACTTAGCCTAATGATTCCTGGGTATTAGCCCACCCTGTTGGGCAATTTTCCTGCAGATCAATATGAAGATGTACTTTCATATAGTATATTGTTGTGTAGATGAATTGATGATTCCACCATCTCTGATAATGATTTTATAGAACTCTTAAATTGATACAAGTAATCCAAAGTCCTCTATAGAATAAAGATAAAAATACAGCTCTGTAATCCTACAAATGTCAATTGCACTAGGCTAATTGCACTAGGATAAGAAAGCAGTCTTGAAATAAATTTGTGATCAAGAAAAAGCATTCATTGTAGAGCAGGTCTAAGGATGAAGCCATAGGTATGTACTATGATAAAGCAAGGCCGTCTAAAACTGTTGATTTGAACTTACAATGAGCTTATAGAATGAAACACTGCTTTGAACATAATATCAACATCCTTCTCTAACTCTTCTTTTGTGTAACATTTTATCTATGAGATAATGTTATAAAGAACTTTTGTATAGAAGATATTAGAAGGCCAGAGAGAAATAATAAAATGTGGTATCTGGGGTTCTGCCCACCCAGCTCCATCCACCAAATACATGCATGTATGTATGTGTATACATATGTATATACATGTATATATATGTACATATATGTCTGTCTGTGTACATGCACACTTGTGTAGGAATATGTTTATGTATGTAAGTATGAATGAACACTTGTGAAGCTGTTGAGACAAGTGGTTGGGCTCAGCCAAAGTGTGTGTCTCTGTGTGTCTATGTGTGTACTTGAATTCTCCCTTTCTTCCTCCTCTTTTCTGGCTCACAAAGAATTAAATAACTCTTAGCCTCTCACCTTGCCAGCGGGCCCTTGAGCCAGAGAGAAACCAGCCCTATTAACTAAGTTTGTTTCATAATGTCCTGCTGCTACCAGGAGAAGTTAATTTTCAGAAACCAGCAGCTTTTAGCCACAGAATAGCAAGAGAGAGTTAAATTGCCAGAGGCTATCTTCTGGCCACCAGAATAGAAAGAAAAAGTTACAAGGCTGGAGGTCATCAGGCTTTGGCCTTTGTCTCACTCTGTGTTGCATCTCAGTACCTGTGTCAACAGGAAGGTTCCCAGCAGGAAGGTTTCTGAAGGTGGGAAAGGGTAGGGATTGAGTCTCAGCAAGAAGTATTCAGAACCCTATGATGCGTAGGATCCTGCCTATGAGGGATACTGATGTTGAGACTTAGATGTCTTCTATTTGCTCATGTGTACACAGAGAAACATGAAAGCAATTAGATGGTATCATCTCAAATTGTTTGAAAAACAAAACCCTGAGTAAAATGACCTAACTTAATCAGACTAAATAATATCATATGGTTAAGTCAGAAATCTCCACTAAAGACAGAAACTGATTTCTTATGCAGTGTTCTGGTGGAAAAGCACAAGTGGCTTTAGTTATTTTAAATGAAAGCCCAAGGAGAGAATAGTTTCCCATTTCATTCCACATTCTGGTTTGTTTGTGGAATCAGCCAAAACAAGTCACGGATGCTTCCAGACCCACTATAGCTTTGTAATCTGGACACATTCTTAATATGTCTCTCCAGCATTCTCCTTCTAATTAGATAGACTTACCCCAAGAATTGTGGCTTCACTAGGCACACCAATCAGCAGGTCATCTCCTTTTTTACATGTATGTCCACCTTTCTCTCCTTTGTGGGTAATGACGTCCTTTGGAAAGCAGTCCCACCCAATGCTCTTAGTGCCAAGCTGTAGAAGCATGATGCCAAGGATGCTAGAAGAGGCATTGGACTCTGTTAAACCCCAGGGTTTGACTCACAGACACCCACAGGCACCAGAGTCTGCAGGGAGTGAAGAAAGATGAGTTTTCTTTAGATAAGAATTGGGTGCATTCAGGGTGGGATGACCATGGCTTGTTTTACAAACAAAACTGGATGTGGCTTTCAGGGGGAGTATAGGATAGACTGCTTGCTGCTCTATCCATGATGAGCAAGAAACATTCTATTGGGGGAAATTGCAAACATTTCCCGGAACTCCACAGTTAGGAGATGAGTAATCCAGAGTGTGCCTGCAGTGGAGCGTATTCACTTCACTGCCTGTCCCCCAAAGCCTTTACTTTCACCTCCCTTTCTCTACCTCTTTTACCTCTGCTTCCCCAATCATACAATGTTTTATCACATCTCCTAGGACATCACACTGAAGCTACATTTGTGCTGTCCAGTCCTCTACTCTTCATTTTCTCTCCTTTAAATTATTGAGTAAGTGCTTTCCAGTTTATAAAAAGAACACGTCTAACCCAGAATGGGCCATTTGCTTCTACCAGCTTAGTAACTATGAATATAATCATTTACTTAAGTCACATTTCAGTCACTAGAATATCAAAGGTCTTAGTCTTTCTAAGAGTCTTATCTCCTAGATGTTATTAAGTCAATTTCATATATTAGCAATCCAGGACTAGTAAGTTCATTTCATTAAATGAACATTTCAAAAAAGCACTTACCTGCTGCATCTCATGTTAAACGCACTGTAGCAAATATAATTATTGTTAGTCTATGTTTGCAGAACTTGCAGGTGCATGAACTATGTCTTCTGGGCTGAAGATCTTGCAACATTTCCCTCTATGTGACATTAATTCTCCTCATCTTACTTTTTCTTTCTTCCTAAGAATATTAACAGCTCCACTCAGGAAACAAACATTGCTCCACCAGGTAGGTCAACAGTACCAAAATGGACCCCAGATTCTTGTTACTAGTGGGGCAGATGGGGGTGGCACTGCAGTGGAAGCCGAATGTCAGTTGCATCTGAAGCATTAGCTGTCATTCATGAGTTCAAAGTCTGCCCCTAGGAATGCCTGTGATCCTGGGGAAGTGTGGTAAAGGTGTCTCTTTCCAGAACTGCTCCCGTATCGGGAAACCTGGATTTTGACTTGATCTTTGTTTTTAAGTATATCAACACAATCCCTTCAGGTTCTCATTTCTTTCTTGGATTTTACAGGTCTCATATCCAATAACTATATTGCATGCTTTATTCTAAGCTCCATGTTAGGAACTGGATACCAATTTGATGCTCTCTAGCCTGTTAACATCATATACATTTATTTCCTGTTGTTATTTTTAAATTGACCATTTGTTAAAAAGTACATATAACAACAATGTCAACTAAAAAGAAATACAGTTTGCATGAATCAAAATGTTGCTGACTTCCCAACTATTAATACAAAGTTGTCAGTTTCAGTTTCCTATTTTCCTTTTCTCCTCTCTTCAGTTCTCTCTCCTTTTTATGTATGATCTACACAAATTATAACACTTTACAAATGGTCATTCCAACAATTTATAATTCTATTAATCTTTGACTAATTATAATTGCCTTAAGTATAAAAGGTAAATGTTATATTCTGACATATGCCACAAACATTGATAAACCTCAAAAACAAAATCCTAAATGAAGTCAAAGAAGTCAGATGCTGTGTGGTTCTATTTATGAGGTACCCTGACTTCTCAGTTTTGTAGACAAGTAAAATGGTGGGGAAGGGGGTCAGTGAAAAGCGGCTGTTTAGTGGATTGTCATGAGGGTGTTATGCATGAATGAACCTGATGCCACTGAATCACACACTTCTAGTAGTTAGAGTGCTAAAGTTATGTAATTAGATTTTTAACTGTAATTAAAAAATCCAAATGATAAATTCAAATGAATGCATTTCATATAACCGGGTGCATACTCAGAATCATTTTGGTTCCTTCAATTTTTTAATCACTATGAACAATGCTGTAGGAAACACCTGTGCACTTTAGGACACATAGAACTTATGCTTATTTTATACATTCAATTATCTATTTACAATAGCATGTAGAGAAGTATTTACTGAATTTAACCTATTCTTAAATTTGGATACATATGGCTATTTTGGGAGGAAGTCTACATAAAGAAGTTCCTTTCGTTTTATAGTAAGTCTGGCAACTGACACCATCCGCTCCCAATCCAACTATGCTTTGTCCTTCAGCATTCATCGTGTCCACAGGAAGTGGGAATGGCACTCTGCTTTCAAAAAGGGCTCCAAAATCTCTACTATTCAGGTAAATACCTCTGCACACAATGCTTTTCTGTGTTGCAATGTTAGATTAGAAACAAAATTTCCAAACTCCACATTTTCTCAAATCCCAGTCTTCCTTGAAAACATGTTTTACAAGACTGAGTGGCAACAGTATAGAAATAAAAGGAATGATAGAAGGCTATCACTTCCAATCTCAACTGATCCCAAGGGTGCTTAACTTCCTCACAACTGAGGCTCCAAATGGGCATGTGATTCGCCAACTTATGCAAATGGTTAACAGAAAAGACAGGGTGAGAATCCAGTTCCCAGACTGTCTATTTAGAGCACAACCTCCCCCAGTAGTTCAATTCCAATCCAAAATTCCTACCTGTCCTCACAGCCCTGTTCTGTGTGCTGTGGCTTCTGGGCCTGCTCACTCTGTTCCTGGGAGAACTCAGGCTCAACTTCTCACCAGCTTCTCCTTCCAGAAGTTTCACTGTCTGCCTTTGACACTCAGGCATTTTGTGTGCTTTTCCCGGAAGTATTCATGATTACACAGGATGTGAATTTGCAGTAATTACAAGTAGTTGGAAAATGAAAAGCTGCTCTACTTCCCCTTTCTGAAGGTTGAGGTTTGGAAGAATAACAATCATGTCACGAAACAGATGTCATCAAGTAGGGAATGATTCCTTGCATTTCTATACGGTTGCATTAAGTCTGTCCCCTTCTGAATGAGAGATAGTAGAGTTCACCATCTGACTGTTGCAGAGTTAATGAGAAAGGAAGTAAGGAGTTTATGAAAATTAGAGTTAGACTTGAGAACATGTGGATTTTGGAGAGCTTATTGATATGGAGACAATTCCCAGTTGATTGGAAACCATTTTAAAAAAGTAAACCTCAATAGCTGGTCCCAATGGAAATACTTGTTTCTTCTAATGGACTCTCACTGAATATACAAACCACATTTCAGTGAGTAGATGGCTAACACAAAATGAACTCAATGGTCTTTTTGGAGATGCTTATCTCATAATATTTTGCTTGATCACTTTTTTTTTAAGCCTTACTTGTATTTTGATTATGCTCATGGCATCTGATTTGGTGGTTTTATGGGGTTTGTGTATGTATATCTCTGCATGTGTATGTGTTTTCTATGATTGTCCTTTTTATTTACTCTATTCTTCTCTTAGCTTTGTTTTATTCTGGTTCGTTTGATTGTTTACTGGCCTGTTTCTTTTCTAAAGAGAGAAAGACATGGAGTTGGAAGGGTAGAGAGGTGGAGAAAATCTTGGAGGAGTAGAGGGAAAAGAAGCAGTGATTAGAATATACTGTAAAAAAACATATTTTTATTTTCAAAAAAAATTTTAATAAAAAGAAGTATGTCTCAAAATATCTCCAAAATAAATTAAAAACAAAAACAAGCAGAAATTCAACCCATACTTATTACATAAGTCTAAAAGAGGATGGCGTATAAAATAACAGAAGGAAGCAGAGAGGAGTGCTATAGAAATGAAGAGAAAGATGGAGATTCCAATGCCATGGTGGGTGTTCATACACTACTAATATATTTGAAGAGAAAATGGTTGTTGACATAAATTAGCATGGCCCCAAGAAGTTCTGAGCAGACAAACTACCACTGGTCAGGCTTTATGCATGCTGTAAGCATGACTTTGTTGCAGACCTAAGCATAAATTAATTAATTTGGTTTGTTTGTTTGTTTAGTTTTAATTCCATGTGGTAGAACCCACCCTTTATCTGTAGTCTTGCTTTCTGTGGTTTCATTATCCACAGTTCACCACGGTTTAAAATGTTCATAGGTAGTTGTAAACACAAATATTTATTAGTTTTAAGTTTCCATTCTGTGAAGTGTGGTGAAATTGTACCATAAGTGAGACATACATACATACATACATACATACATACATACATACATACATACATACCAAGAATTCAAGTTAACCACAGCATAATTGTTCTATATGGTTGTGGTACAGAAAACCTAGGGTATGTGGTACAGAGCCATGCAGTTTGAGACACCCACTGCATATTTTGACATGTATCTTCTGAGAATCGGGTTGGGGAGGAGTGAGCCCAATGTACCTTAAGCGTCTAACCAACTTACACTTACAGAATAGGGACTTTCTAATAACACATAAGGCAACTGTATAAGTAGAACCAAGTATTCCCTCTGTTTGACTTCACTGACTGTCTTGTGAAAGCCTAGCCAGCCCCTTGCTGTTCCTTCACTGTCACCTTTACCATTTCTCTTTTGGAGCTTCTCAAGTTATGACTTCAATAAAATCCTGAAAATGTTATCGTGCCTCAGTTTACTTTGAAAGCGTCCTTGATAAGTCACCCACACTTCAGTAGAAGGGCACACATTGAAGAATAATTGGGCAGCACAAACTGGATTTGTTGAGGGAAAAAAAGTAATAAAAGGATACAAAGGACAGAAAGTTAGGGAGGAAGGGAGGTGGGGGGGTCTTGGAGGAGTGGGAGGAAGATGAATATAATAAAAACACAGAAATTCTGAAATTCTTAAAGAATAATAAAATATAGGGAAAGAAAAATGCCTTAGACTTCATTCCAACTGCAGTCTAAAAGCTAGTCCTCTGTTTAAAACAAGTGTATTGTCCAAAATGTATTTCTCAGCTTCAGCAAATTGAACAGGGTACAGTGGGATTATAAGATAAGCCAGTATAAGATAAATGTCACTGAGGTACATTTTGCATGTCATTTTTTGGAAGGTTGACCACATACATGAATAAAATTTTAAAATATCAAATTTACATGCAACACCTATACTAATAAATCTACTAGCACATTTATTCCCAAAAATTCATGTAATTATTTTTAGTTGAGTGAGATAAGGATTTGCTTGAGTATCATTTAAACATAAAGATGACATTTCATATCAATAAAATGACCTTTTAACCGTCTGTAGTGGCTCACAGCTAAGTTCATAGAACTTAGGAGGATTTTGAGTATGATGCCAGCTACATAGTGAGCTCTGGGGCCCTATAGGTGGATAGAGAGGTCATAGATCTTAGAGGGGAAGCTGCTATTAACATTTTGCTAAATTAATATTCTATGCAACTGCCTTCTAAATACTTACTTTGGAACCCATAGATTGGTGCCATTCTCACACTTCACCAAAGAAGCTTCTCTTTGCAGTGGTGAGGGGCTTTCATGAAAGCTTGGTCAAAGTGGACAACGTGCAGGGAATATGTGACTGTGGAATCCTTATTTCAAACTGAGGACGGCTTTAACACAATCTGTAGCTGGCCTTTGCTAATTTGTAGGTTCATCTTTCTCTCATCTTGTATCTCCCTGGTTTCACCCCCTTATCACTAGATAGGAGGGGAGGATATGGTAGGGTGGGAGAGATCCTTGAATCTAATTCCTTTTGTTTCTCTTTTGAGCATGACTACTAACAAACTGCAACCAACCACCCTGAATGACTGCCAAGCATTGACCCCACCTCTCAAGGCCCTAGCATTTATATAGCCTTTGAAAAATTCCCAGAATTCTAAACATTACACAATCACAGAAACTATCTGCAGCTGGAAAAACCATGCCTCTCCTAGAGCACCAGGCAAATCATGCCCAAAGCAGCCCCACATCCCTACACCTGGGATTAAAATGAAAACACATTCTTATAATATTTCTATGTTTTTCAAAAATAAGTAAAACTTCCAGAACTCAAAAATGTCACTACAAAAACTCCTACACCCAAGGCTCAAGGAACATTTTAAAAGAGACAAGATGATTGTAAGAGCCAGAGGATCTGGAGGACTGCTGTGAATCAGTGTCTTCTGGACAAGTCAGGAACGTTGCCCCCATGAGCTCTCAACATCAATGGTTGTCTGCACAAGAGCACCCCAGTCAACATTCCAGGATGGATGGGGAAGGCTTCACTCCTAGTTGAGGAGCTATAGGAAGTCAAAGGCTCCCGAGGATGAACAAATCAATCTTCTTCATAGATGAGCTCCTGCACAAGTGGTCATCCCTACACTCCTGTGTATATGGGAAACACTAATTTGAGTCAGTAGGTTTTATACATAAACACATATACTTATATATCACAATAATGACTATGGAAAAAAATGGGCATGAATATGAGAGAAGGATGTAGAGGGAATGTAAAAGGAATTAAAACAGGAAGAAGGGGTAGATGTAGCCAAAATTGCACTCGTAAAATTCTCAAAATATAAAAATTAAACACAAAACAAACAAAATGTTTAAACAACAGGACCATTCAGGTGGTTCAGAGGGTAAAAATGTGTGTGGCCAAGGCTAATGACTTGCATTGGGTCTTCAGGATCCAGATGATGGAAGGAGAATTCTGACTTCTGTAACTTGTCCTCTCTCTCTCTCTCTCTCTCTCTCTCTCTCTCTCTCTCTCTCTCTC